GAAGCTTGTTATGATTTCAGACAAAGATGCCATTAAAAAAGTAATTCATGGTTATTTATTACTGTTCATATTTGCTCTTAAATGATTTCTTTTGTTTAATATTTTCTTTTTGTTTATATAGATTTTGACCGCCGTATGTTCATTTTAAGATTTTAACTTCATTATGCTTTAATTGATTCGTCTACTTTCACATCAGGAATTTCCAAAAAGCATGCGTTACGAAGCTTTAAGAATGAGTGAAGAATATGAAACGTTATTTTCTTCCACGTATGTTATTTTAAAAAGGATTCCTTTCTTCATTTAGCCTAAACTCATTTCTTATATATCCATATTTTTTTTCATCCAACAAAAAGTGATAAAACTTTTCATAAACAACGTGTATGTATCGCAATTTACAATTGTCACTTAAATTCTTCTCAAGACAAACTTTTTTATCTTGAATTTAGCGTCGAATAATTTCACCAGCGTTCTCCATAAAATACATTGCATCGTTAGAAAAATTAATGTTAACTTGTATAAAAGATTTGGTTTATAATATCGATGAAAAGTTAAAAAATCAAGGTGCTATTTTGAATATTGTTAATCTTATTCAGATTTGTGCAGTGGTAGGTAATTCTTAAGGAAAACATTTATTAGGAAAAGATTCAGATTTTTTATTTTTCCTTTTATTTTCTATTTTTTTTAATGAGGATATAATTGGTGAAACTTCATTTGGCGGAAAGTTTAACAGTATCAAAGCCGGTGAACATCCTTTACCTGGAAAGGCCTGGAAAGAATTTAGGAGAAGACTAATGGTTAATGAATATAGATATTATTATTATACGACAGGGTGATACCTAAGTTACCAGCTAGTAAAAATTCGCGTTAATCGGTTATTTTATGTAAAATCTGAGATGCAACGTAAAACCTGATACGAATAGAAATCCGCGATCAAAATAAAAAATTTTCTAAAATTTGAGCGAAGATATCTTGACAACCACTTGACCAAATCCGATGAAATTTTTTTATTTGAATTCTATGGAATCATAGAATTCAAATAAAAATTTTCATTGAATTTGATCAGGTAGTTGTCGAGATATCTTCGCTCAAGTTTTAGAAAAACTTTGCCGCAATTTCTATTTATATAGCTGTTTTGATTTTTTTAAACTTTGAGCGAAGATATTTCAACAACTATCTGACCAAATTCTATGATTTTTTTTTTTATTTGAATTTTTTTTTTATTTGAATTTTTTTTATTTGAATTTTTTTTTATTTGAATTTTTTTTTATTAGAATTTTTTTTTATTGAATTTTTTTTTTTATTTGAATTTTTTATTTGAAATTTTTTTTTATTTGAATTTTTTTTATTTGAATTTTTTAGATTTATCGAATTCACTCAAAAAAAAATTTTT